CCCCAGTGTGGGCACAGGGGCATCCAGAGCCACGGGAAAGAGCCAGGGAAAGGCATCCCAGCCACGCTGGGGGGTGAGGGGCTGCAGGTCCCCCCGGAGCTCCCCCTCCCTGCAGCCCCCTCAGGGTGATGCCAAGTCATCCCCCCACACAACCCCTGCGTGCAAAGGGCTTGGAAAGGACCAGAAAAACCTCAGCACAGTTAAAAAACTGCCTGAACTCGCCATCCATCTCCCAGCCCAGGCGAGATGGGTCCCTGCTGGGCTCAGCCAGGCACGAGAAACGACTCCTGTGCCTTGGCTGGCTGATTATTTCGGAGGGAAATGGCTCTCCCTGGCCCCCCTTCAGCCTCCCCAGCACGTGTTTGGGACCCAGGGAGATCTCCAGGGCCCCGAGCACGAGCTGGAAGTTAAATGCAGGTTTAAACACTCGGCTGAATCGGGGCCATGATCTGCTGGGGGGGTTTGGATCCGAGCCCCCGCTCAGGTGAGCAGCTCCCTGTGCTTGCAGATTCCAGGCCTGGGACAAGCCTTTTTTCCCCCCTCTGCCTCTTGGAAACGTGGATGCAAAGGGTTGTTATTGCCCGTGGTTGAGCTGAGCTGGTGCTGGGAGGTGTGGGAGTGGTCGTGGGTTGGTGCCCGGGGTGTGAACACGGCCCTGGTTGGATCCTGCCAAGGGCTGAGCCCCGGGAGCATCTCCCACACCTTCCACCATCCCATTCCTGGCAAAACCCATCAGCATTCCCCCAAAAAACCCCCCAGGGACCGAGCCCCTGAAAGGCTGTGATTTTGTAGGTGGAGGGAAACAACCTCTTTGATCCCTGGGAGGGGAGGGGGAGGCTCAGCCCGAGCTGCTGCTCTGCCCCTGCACAGCCCAGATTGAGATTCCAGATATGGGCGATTAATTTGATTTCCTCTGAAACTGCAGCAACCTGAGGAGCTCTGGGCAGGGGGAGGCACCACCACTCACTGCAGGACTGCTCTCCCAGGGGGTCTCCCCACTGTGTCCCCCCAGCCCAGGCTCCCCGTGGGGCAAGAAGGGTCAAATCGCCCCCAAATCACCCCCAAAACACCCCAAAAACGCTGTGAGTCCCCCCCATTCCCTCCCTCCCTCCCAGGGCAGCAGCTGAGAGCACCGTAGGTGCCTCATCCACTATTTATTGTTGTTGTTATTTATTATTAAAGCACCAACCAGCCTTTCCCAGGCCCCGTGCTGGGGGAAACGCTCCATAAACCATTCCCTGCTCCCAGGCCGGGATGGGGAACGTGGAGCTGGAGCAGTTGCAGGCAGAGCATCACCAGCACCATCCCTGTTATCCAGGGGGGTGGGATGGAGACCCTTCCTCCTGCAGACACCACAGCCAAGGGGTTGGAGCCTGGATTCTCCACCCAGGAGGCTTTGCTGGGGCACACGAGGGGATATTTTGGGGTGCAGAGCCCAAAATTTCGGAGTGAAAAGCGGGGAGAACAGGGATTTTTAGGCATTTTATATTCCCTTCCAGGGGGAGCAGCCCCCTGGGTGCTGAGGAGGGGTCAGTGCAGGGGCTCAGCTCCCAGCCCAGAGCACAGGGGTGCAGCAGAAAGCCGGGATGCTCTGGAAAAAGGGAAGCAGAGTCTGACCCGGGATGCTCCCGACTCCAGGGCTCTTTTCCCGGCCCCCCAAGGGCAGGGCAAGCACAGGGCAGCCCAAAATAGAAACAACATGTTGTGCTTTTTCTCTTGAAGCAGCAGCAGTAATTAACCAGGCAGCAGCTTTACAGGTACCAGGGGATGGCACTTCCCATTCCTGAGCTCTCAGAGACGCTCTGGAGAAGAGGATCCCGAATTTCTCAAGGGCCAAGAGACTGTCACTGACCCCAGACACCTCTCCTGGCTGTGCCTGGGGGGTTCAGTGGGGCTGGGGGGTGAGCAGGGGTGGCCTCCAGCTCCTCCTGGTCGTCTCCATCCATCTGGGATGTCGAAGGTTTGTTTGGAATGGTTTTCCTCCCATCCAGGCACTGGTTTCTCCCCCCTAACCCACCATTCCTTGGCTGTTCTTCAGGTTTGATTTCTCCTTTTTTCTATTTTTTTTTAATTGATTTTTTGATTTTTTGATTTTATTTATTACCTTGACTTTGAGAACAGGAGTAAAAACCCTCCTTTCTGCTCCTCCTCCTCCTCTTCCTCCTCGTTCTCTCCCCACGAACAGCATCGTGGATCTCACCCAACAGAGAGCTTCTCCCAGCAAAGCCAGCGAGGACATTGTGTGCCAGGCTCTATTTTAAGCACCCAATAAAACTGATTTTTGGAGTGGCTCCATCCCCGTGTCCTTCCTTCCCGAGGTCCCACGTCCCCAGCACCCACCATGGGCACTGCTGGGCTCCTGCTGCTCCATCCCTGCCTGCTCCAAAGGCTCCCGGGCTCTGGGAGGAGCTGACACGGGTTTATTAGTTCGTTAGGGAATCAAATCAGGCCTCTCCTCCTCCTCTCCAGCACTTCCTCAAGAATGATTTAAATTAAACCCCGACCTCCCTGGGAAATGTCAGCAGCGTTATCCATATGCATGATGCCATTAGGATGGAGCAGGTGCAGCTCCCAAAACCTGCAGGAAAACCTACCTGTCAATCTGCTCAGCAAACAGCTCCTTCCAGAGGCTCCAGCACTTCCCCACTCCTGCCTTTGCCACCCACCACAGAGGGGGAAACTGAGGCACAAAGTGTGACTGCCTTTGGCCCCAAGGAATATGACAGGGATTCAAGCATTCCAGCGGGAGATGGGAGACAGGGAGAGGGGGAAAAACTCCCACCCCTGCAATGAGAATCAGCAAAACCGGTTAAAAACAACAGCAAAACCCCACCCCAGATGTAAAGGGGGGGTCTGTGCTGTCACTGCTCCGCTGGGGGCCCCTGGAAAACCCCTGGAGAGCCGGGAATTCCTAGCGTGGATAGCAAACAGCTTTGATCCCTGCCAATCCTCCCTAAATCTCGAGCAGTGTCTTGTTAAATCTTTAACGACAAGAAAATTGCAACCTCTGCCGGTGAGCACAGGAACGGGGCTGATAAATATTTCAGATCCCCAGATCTGAGGGGACTCGGGGAGGACAGATGGGAGTGACAGTGATTAAACACCAGAGCCCAGGAAATGCTCCTGAGCACGTGAATAATGCAGGGCCCTGACAGGGAGGGGGGAAACGGCTGGTTTGGGGAAGGAGCCCTGGATTCTTCCCCAAAAAAATCAGGGAGAGAAAGTGGGGGATAAAAAGAGCCTTTTCTCCTGTTTGGAAGCAAAACACAGCCTGTGCTGGAGCAGGGAGAGCTGGGGGGGGGTCTCCTGACCCCTCATTCCATGTTTTGCCCAGAAATGGCTTTAAACTGTAAGAGGGTAGGGTGAGATGGGATATTGGGAAGGAATTCCTCCTCCCCAGGAGGCGGGGAGGCCCTGGCAGAGGTTGCCCAGAGGAGCTGTGGCTGCTCCATCCCTGGGAGTGTCCAAGGCCAGGTTGGAGCAGCCTGGGATAGTGGAAGGTGTCCCTGCCCGTGGCAGGGGGTGGGATGGGATGAGCTTTAAAGTCCTTTCCAGGCCAACCTTGATTCCCTGAAATCCTGGGGATCTCTTGCTCTACCGACCCACTGTGGTGCTGAGAAGGGGGGGATGTGAGGGGATCCAGTTCTTCCAGCTCCTCCTCCTCCTCCATCTCCCATCCCTCCGGCATCCACCGAGCTCCTGCCCCTTTGTCCCGACTCCTTGCCCCCATCCACCTCCCTCCCCTCTTCCTCCAAGTTTGGAGGTTATTAAATTTCCAGGCACCATTCAAGATTTATTGTGTTCATTCCCAGGAGCCCAGGCTCCCCTCACTCCCGGGGAAGGGGCTGGCAGAGTGACCCACCCCGGTGACCTTCCCAATAAAATATGGATCTGAAGAGCTGCTCAGTTATGGATGTTAGAGCAGAGGGGTGAGAAAACCTCCTGGGTTGGGACAGAGATCCCTGGGAGGGTGAGCATGGCAGCACCCTGTGATCCCTCTCAGAGCCCAGCCCAGCTCAGGATCACCCTGTCCCCGTGCCAGGGATGTCCCCAGGCCACCCAACATCCCGGGAGAGGCAGAGCTCCATGTGTGCCCCCCATCCTCCTCCTCCCACCCCACCGTGTGGGGCTCAGCCCTGCAGGGCTGGGCCAGGAGTGCCTGAAATGTCATTTATGGTGAGCTCTGCTCAGCTACCATAATGAAGCACTTAAAAACTCTAACGAGGGGGGGCTGGTTTGGCCCTGCAGAAGTGCTGATGCCCACCTAGTAAATCTTTAATTGGCACTGGAAGGGAACTGGGAGCTCACCAGTACAGAGAACACCATAAATATTTGATTTGGGCACTGATTGCACAAACAAGGTTGAGGGGAAGGAGGGAGAAGACAGATAAAAGTGGCACCTATAGAGCATTAAATCCAGAGAAAGTCATCAAGTAGATAAATAAAATATCCTGCAAAGGCAGGAGAAAGTGCTTCTTCCAGGCAGCTGGGGAAGGCACAGCCTTCTGCCCTGGCATCCACTGAGTGCCCAGGGCTGCACTTGGACTCCTGTGAACAGAAAAAATGGGAAACCCCAAAACTGAGTTGTAGGTGGGGGTTCAGCTCAGCACCCCGGGGGGAAAGCCCCTCCCAGAGCCAAGTGGGGCTCTGAAGGCAGGAGAGGGGGAGCAGGGCTGTGCCCATCCCTCCAAGGACAGGGGGAGCCCCCCAAGCTTCCCAGCTCCCCAGAGGCATCCCTGGTTTGGGATAAAACCCAAAGCACAGCTGGGGAGCCAGCAGGACTCCGAGCAAGGCAACTTCCCTGCCCAGGCACTCATTGCTCTCCTGGGTATTGATTTTAGGCAGAACACGGATTTCCAGGCAGCCCAACAAGAGCTGCCACTTGTAAAGCTGCTCTCGAGCTCTGCAAACATTTCCCTGGCATTTACAGCATCCCCCTAAATCACTGGGCCAATAACAACCCTGCCTGATCCCACCTCGGGGGGGTGTGGGGCTGTGCAGGGCAGTGCCAGCCCTGGTGGGCACCAGGGCCCAGCTCCTCCCTCGGGGACAGCACTGGGGGCTCATTAAACAGAGCTGCAGAGGCAGAGCCTGCTCTGGCTTTCCAGGAGCAGAAAGGTTTCTGGAAAGATCTAAGAGCCTCCCCCTCCTCTGTGCCCCCACTGCCCAGAGCGGGGGCTCAGCCCAGGTCCTTCCAATGCCCCCCATTCCGAGCAGCCCCTGGGATGTGGGGCCAGTTCCCACCCGTGGGGGGGCTCAGGTTAAGGAGATTTCAGCTGCTCCAAGAACAGAAGGCCAGGAAAGGGTCCAGAGGCCCAGGATTGCTGGGGCAGGGCCAGGAACTCCCCTGCAGGACTGGCAGGACAGGGTGGGAACGGTGCTGGGGGCAATCCTGGGCTCCAGCCAGCCCTAAAGCTGCTTTGGGAACATGGGTGGGGCAGCACCAGGAACAGAAGCAGCTCTGCCCACAGGGATCCCTGCCAGGGATGGGGAACCAGCTCTGGCTCTCCCACAGGTGGAGTTCTGTTCCTACAAAGCCATCAAGATGCTTTTCCTTCTGGAGCAGCATCTCCCCCTTGGCTGGGGTGAATCCCTGCTGGGGCCTGAGAGCCTGAGTACCCACAGCCTGCTGGTCCCCACACAGGGGGGGACAAGGAAAACCAAGCCCCAGCCACGGGATTGTCCCTCAGTGCCTTTTCCTGGTGGGTCTGTGCAGCCTGGAGGGAGGGAGGGCTGCAGGGAGCTGCCAGCACGGGCTCCGTGCCATGCACAGCCAGTGGGTGCCATCTAGTGAACTCCTGCCTCCTCCAGGGCTGCTGCCATCCTGCTCCAGAAAATAACGTTAGAACAGCTGGAGAAGGGGTAAAAAAACCTCCTGGCACTGCCACAGGACAGCAATGTGGTGGTTGCCCTCCTGGGAAACTGGGAACGGGCTGAAAAACAACCCAGCAAGGGCTGTGCCAGGCTGGGCCGGGGGGGAATCCAGAGCTGCTGCTGTTCCTGCTGGATTTTGCACACACAGAGGTTGGGGCAAGGCAGACACACCCCAGGAAGGACAGTCCCCCCTCCCTGGAGAGGACACACAGCAGGATCCCAGGCTGCTCCACCAGGAGCTGGCCTTTCCTGAAGGGTTTCCCTCGGAACGCAGAACAAATGAAAACTAAACCCGTGGGATCGTAGAATGAGCTCGATTTAATTAAATTCATCTTCTGCAGGACATAAAAAAAATAAGGGTCAATTCTGTGGTACAGGCCTCATTTAAATAGTGCAAACACACAGGTGATGTTCAGCAAGAGCTTCTGCTCGTCCCTGCAGCGGCTGCTGGGGGCACAGTGGGACGAGGGGGGTTTCTTTAACAAGGAAAACGTGCCTGGGAACACCAGGCTGTAGGGAAGGGAGATGGGGAGATCCAGGAAGGCATCACTCTTCCCAGAAGAGCCAGACTTTACCTTTGCCCGAGGCACAGCGTGTTCCTGCTGCCTTCGTGGATCTCCTGCTGCTGCTCAGCCGTGGTTGCGTCTTCCAGGAGTTGGAGACTCCCCGAATCATTGCTGGGTTCAAGGAGCTGCATCTTCCTGAAGCACCTGCTCAGGTGACAGGGGAGGGGTGTCCCCACAGAGGTGTGGGCAGCAAGAGCACCTGGTTGGGGTAAAATAACACAGAAACAGGACTGCAGCCACCACAGCTGCCCATATCCATCAGGGAAAGGCATGGAGGGACCTGCCGGGATGTGGCTCCCAGGCAGCCACGGGCAGGGTCAGGCCCGTTCCCAAAGGAGCAGGGAACATTCCAGTCATGGGGCACAGATCATGCAGGAGGATTTGCAGAGGTGAAAAGCTGCTGTCTGCAGGTCAGCTGTGCTCCTGGAGCTGGTGGGTCTCACTCCCGGGGATCCCGACACTGCTCACGGGGGGGGGCAAAGAGGATTCACAGGACTCGAGGAATTCCTTATGCTGGTTATGGATAAAGGGATGGAGAGCAGTGCCCTGGCTCTTTCTTCACTCATGGAATCTTCCAGAACGATCAGCCTTCACCGAAGGCCTCCAGTGAGAGCTCTTCTCCTGGCAGGTGGAGCTCGGAACAGGCAGAGCCCCGATGGCTTTGGGGACATTTGGTTTCTGCTCCATTTGCAGTCCCGTTTGTCCCAGTGCCACAGGCACAGCTCCTGAGGAGCAGGTCCACTCTGGGCTGGATGCAGAAGGATGGAGCAGGCCCTGGCAAAGCTGGGTTGTGCTTCCCACCACAGCCCTGCTCCAGAATAAACACGGGACACAGGTAGAGGGTCCATAGCCTGGTGAGAGGAGCACTGAGGGGCTTCTCCAAAGGACTCCCTTTGTGTAGAGGCTTTGTCTGGGCTGAACTGGCTCGTTAACACCCCTCAGCACAGGAGAGATTTTTGGAGACCTGAAGGAAAGGCCGATGTGCCTCGAACAAGTCACTGAGTAAGTGAGAAGAGGCGCTTCAGCTGGAGACATTCTGGGGAGTAAACAGGCTGTGTTGACCTCTGGCTGTCAAGACACAGGGTTTACAAACACATTTTCACACTGCAGAGCGCGAGAAGGTGCTGGAACCACACACTTGGGAGCTTCAGAGTTTCCATACCGTGCTTAAATATCCAACAAAGTCAGAAATCCGGTGCCAAAAGTTCTGTAAAGGAAACCTGACCTACAGCACGGGCAGCAGGTTCCTGTGATCATCAAACAATGGCACCGAGATTAAAAAAAACACAACAGTAAAACAGACAAAACTTTTTAGTTTGGGCGTTAAAAGGTACTTGTGCCCACAGCTGGTGTGCTCAGGGGTGCATTAAGGGCTAGCAAGGACCTCTTCTCTCTTATTGCACTTCAAAACCACCGGAGAGGGAGGAACTGCTGGGAGACACCAAGGGGGTTCAGAGAGCCAGCCCTCTGCAAGGAGAGCATTCCTGACCCCACCTGAATTCCCCTGGGAAAGGGAATTCCCAGCACCCCACCTGCACTGCCACAAGTGGCACCACAGCTCTGAGTGCTCCGAGCTCCTTCTTCACCCCCCCAAAAAACGGCACAGGAGCACGGAGGGTTTCACTCACAGGACGTGGCAGAAGGGCTCTTGGTGCACTGCTGCTTACTGAAATTTAAATTAAAGCAATAAAACATTGTTTTCCTCTCCTCCTGCTCCTCGCTCTTCCAAGCCCCAACCTGGGCAAGTCACAGCTCCACAAATGTATTTGCACTGCAATAGCTTATTCTTCTAGGACAGGAAAATCTCAGCTGGGTTACGGTGCCTCGTGGACATGGAACAGTTGAGTTAAAAATAAGCAAGGAGTTGGCAAATGCACGCTGTAAACACCGTGGGTACACACTGGACAACAAAT